AGAACTGCAACCAGCTGCATGCTTAGGCAGTAGTTGTGGATAGAAAACAGAAAAGAGGAATTAAGACAGCTGAGAGTCCTTGTTTGAATCAGCTGGCTGTCTGCCATTGACAAGCTGGGCTGCTGTAACTCCAAAACTCAGCTGTTTGTTACACAAGTACACTCCTGCATTAGTTTCATTTAGCGTGAGTGACTCCATATTTGTTTAGTCCATTTGGTCCGTTATAAGAGCCCAGTCCAAATCAATGGCCTCCTACATATTGTACTTAACAATGAGAAGAGGCCCAGTAGGTTTCCGGATCTTTGATGTTATCTCTGGTTTAGCCACCTCCCAGCTGGTCCTGCTTTTTGCCCACAGTAATGTGGGAGGACAGCTGTGGAAGCCTTTTGAATAAAGCTAATGCTTGATACCAGTGCAGCCCATGCATGAGGTGAGCGAGGATGCCTTCTGTACTCCACACCAGCCCTTCTGTCCATGTCTCTAACTCTGGCCAAGGCCGAGGGTCAAGGGCACACAACCATGGGTCCTCTGAAGTGAGAAGGAGAGGAAGTTCATCCTGGGGAAGCAGGTGGAGCTGAGAGGTGAGGACCACCTTGGGAGGGTGGCTCTCACAGGGGGCCAGGAGCCCACTGGATGGGTTCGTTCCCTGCCTGGGGCCGCTGCAATCAGCCCCTCCTCTTGTGGAAGCTCAGGTTGAGCCTTCTGCATAGTTCCTGGTGGCTGAGGCAGCCAGGGATGCTGAGAGTGGGGAAGACAAGGCCAGAGGGGGTGAAGGGAAGGAAAGGGAGAGAAGAGGGCTAGGCGTGTGGGCAATGAGGAGCCAACCGTACATCGGGGAAGCCTGCTGTGGCAGTATGCTGCCAGGGAGGGAAAGGGGATGGGGAAACAGTATGGAGAATAAGATTCATAAATTCATTTGCTCATTCATTTTTCCATTTATTCGTTCCCCAAATAAAAGAAAAGATGTCCATTTTGAGAGATGATTGCTAATCAAGGTATACACAAAATGCTAAAGAAATATGACAAAGGGAGAAAAGACCTCTAAAGGGTTGCAGGAGTAGGAAACCGGGGGAGATGTTTAAGCTGAGACATGAAGGAGCCTGGGAGAAGCCAGGCCCATCTCTTTCCAGACCTCCAAATCCCAGTCCAGCTGTTGCCCTCTCTGAGTTTGAGTCCTAGCCCTGCCACATACTTCCTGTGTGACCTCAGAGAAGTGATCTAACCTCTCTGAGCCCCAGTTTTCTCAGCAGTAAGGTAGGGATGATACCAACTGAGAGGGCTATTGTGAGATTCAAATGCAATAATGCACTCTGCAGGATACCTGGCCCCTGTATAAAACGTGCTTCAAGCAACTAACTGTTGCTAGGTCAGTATCAGTAGTAGCGGCAGCAACTCTGTTTCCCAGACCCCAGACTCCGGGCCTCTGTCTTTGCGCTGGAGAGGAAAGCTGAGGCCATTCCCAGCGTCCCCCATCTCTGGCCCCTGTCCCTTGGGGAAACATGAGGAGCAGAGCTGGAGGATCTCATGTGTGCCCTGCCACGCCCCTTAATCCTTCCTGAACTTGGGGGGGCGTGGGGTGGGGGCGGCACCACTGCAACACCTGCACAGCTCTGACATCTCCTGCCTCTGGGCAGAGAAAGCAATTTCAGAAATGACATGTTGCCAACAAGCAGAAATCAGCTTCTGAATTAAAATGTGTCGGCATCAGGTGACCCCGGGCTCGGAGGGCTGGCTGCATGAAGACAGCTGAGATTAGAGCCTGTCAGGCTGGGGAGGGACTGTGTGGGAAGGGGTGGGGGCGCCCCTGGGGCAACCACTGCTCCCCAGGCCACTGGCCACCCTGGACTTGTTCAGACGGGGAGGGGGGCGGGAGGGAAGAGGGTCAGGAATTCGGACACTGGGTCATAGTCTCCTGTGCCTCTGCCCAGCCTTCCCCACTCAGCTGCCTACTCTCCACAGTGGGGGTGGGATGAAGGTCAGGCTCAGCACCCCCCCCCCGAGAAGGCTCCAGCGTAAACATACTAATGGGCCCCAGAGTGCCAGGAAGGAATGTGGGCCCCACAGCTCTGGGGACTGGAGGAGGGATGGGAGTGGGGTGGCTACTCTCCTCTGCAAGTATGCAGGGAGGGGAGAAAGGGAGGGACGGGGAGAGACAAGAAGGAGGAGAACCAAGCAAGAGGGGAGGAAGACACGCCAGCCACACTGAACCCGTGCAGTTCCCTGACACCACACCGCTTCCCTCTGTCCCAGCCCCATGCATCACCCATGCCCTGCACTCTGCGGTGGGGGCTTGGGCATGGCAGGAAACCTCTCTGAGCCTTAATTTTCTCATCTATAAAATGAGGGTCATGGTTTATGTGTCCCTGGGTTGCTAGGTAGAGGGGATGTGAGAAAGTGGCCCTGCACAGCAGTCCCCAAGCAGGGTGAGATCACATAGCGGCATCTCTCAGGGTACTGAACATCTTGCCCTCTAGTGATCTTTTTCCTTGTCTGTCCCCTTGTCTGTGACCTCCCTGAAGGCTGGACCTAGGTCTCTTCACCACAGTACTTAGTGTCCTGTCCCATGCCTGGGTCACCTGTACTAGGTGACCAGTGTCTGCCTCATGAGCAGTCACATGAGGGAACATCAGGTGAGAGCTGGGTAAATAGAGTAGGAAATAAAAGGGTAGGGTGGGGATAGGCAGAAGACCCCTGCCACCACTCTCCTCCAGAATGTCCCCCACCCCATCACACAACCCCAAACTCAGCAAGGGCCAGAGCAGGGCTGGCAGGGGTACTGCTAAGTCCCTAAGAGGTAGGCTAGAGGGTGGGCTGAAACAAGGCTGGTCATGATTTCAAGACAGGAAATCGTCCCCCAACCCTTCCACTGCAGGAATTCCACTGTCAGAGGACAGAGCTTCTCACCCCTTGCTCAGAGTTAAGTCAGAGAAGCAACCTATGAACTTGAGAAGATTCCAGAGGGCAGTGGGCAAGAGCTTAGATAGGAGAAAGGTCTGAATTTGAATCTTGGCTCTGCCACTCACTCAGCTAATGCTTGAAGCTCTCTAAACCTCAGTTTCCTCATCTGTAAAATTGGTATGATAATTCTTACCCTTTAGGGTGATTGTGACAGTGGGGGTAGGAAAGAAAGGAAGCTCTTTTTGATAGAAGAATACCAATTAATAAATCCTCAAAGATGGTAGAGTTAGATAAGCAGCATTTCACGATGGACTTGGCCAAGAATCACCCTGGGTCAGGAAAGAATATTATAAAGGACACTTTGAGGGACAGTCGGGGCAGTTGGAATATGGACTGTATAGGAGATAATATTGGGTAGATGTTACATCGCTCAGATGTGATGGTGGCCTGTGGTTCTGTTGAAGAATGTTACTGTTCTTAAGAGGTACAGATAAAGTATTTAAGTGTCTGCAAAGGTCTCACAAATGGGTCAACAAAATAAATATGCATATACAAAGAGAGACAGTAAATGTGACATTTATTTATTTAGTTAGTTTTGAGACAGGGTCTCACTCTGTCACTCAGGCTAGAGAGCCCCAGTGTCAGCCCAGCTCACAGCAACCTCAAACTCCTGGGCTCAAGCGATCCTCCTGCCTCAGCCTCCCCAGTAGCCATTCAACCATATTGATGTGGGAGTCTCTTTTTAAGGAGGATTTATTAGTTAGTATTCTTCTATCAAAAAGAGCTTTCGTTTCTTTCCTACCCCCACTGTCACAATGTGGGCAGGTGCCTACACCACAACCAGCTAATGTTTCTATTTTTTGTAGTGACAGTGTCTCACTCTTGTGCAGGCTGGTCTCAAACTCCTGAGCTCAAGCCATCCTCCCACCTTGGCCTCCAGAGTGCTAGGATTACAAGCATGAGCCACTGTGCCTGGCCCATGTGACGGTTTTTAAAAGAGAAAGTAGCACGAGCACTGCTCTCTTAGTGATAGTCTCAACAAGCCCTGATCCCCCCAGAAGATGTCAGCACATAGCAGATGTGGGGAGTCCTGTGGCCTCTTTGGGGGCTGGTTTAAGGGAGGGAGAGAAGACTTGGGTGAGGGAGGGGGAAGGCTGAAGGCAGAGGAGGGTAGAAAGAACACAGGGTTTGGAGCCAAAAGCCCTGGTCCGCTTGCTAACCATGCAGCCTTCAGTGCGACACGTAACCATTTTGTGCCGTCGTTCCCCTTTCCATAAAAAGGATGGAGGGTAAGAAAAGAGAAAAATAGATAAAAATCCTTTGCTAAACTGGATCCTGCTGCTGTGTGTGGACATGTCTGTCTTTGCTCGGGGCCAGCTAGTCTCAAGGTCCAGGGACTCTGGGCAGAAGGAACATGTTAGGACAGGGATGCAGGTGGGACTGTAGACCCACCTCTGCCCACCTCCCAGGGAATCCCAGGGTGGACCCCAGTGGGGTTAAATAACTGAGTGAGGAAGCATGTGCTCTCTGCTACCCTTTGCCCAGAAGGGACCTCCTTGCCAGGAAACTCCCGGGAGCTTGCTGGGAAGGCACCGTGGCCAGAGGAGGAACTCGGGGGTTGACATGTAAATGATCAAACCATTGCATGGCTATGCCTCTAGTTTTCTTCTAAGGGACTTCAGATCCCAGAAGGTTCCTGCTTTGTTGTATCCTGTGCCACCCAACCAGAGCTGCTGGCCAGGACCCTAGATATACTTACCAACTCCAAGAGGGACCTGGGCTTTGGCTGGCCTGAGTTGGTGTGTAGCCTGGGATGGATGACCTCTTTCCTCTAGGCCTTTGTTTACCCAGGACCCATAGAGTGGGGTGATCCATCCTGGCCCTACCTCCACCAGTGTGGGGAAGAAAAAATTCATACTTTGTAGGTCAGCAGATCTGTGTTCACATTCTGGCCAGGCTGTGTTCACATGCTGGCTGGTAGCAGATACCTCACAACCTCCATTTATTTAACCATTGCAGGGGGGTTGTGTCCAATGTGCAAGGTTATTGCAATAAATAGACAAATAAGGCAAAATAAGTACAAATAACTGGTGTGTAGTTTATTGGCTTGTTGTCTTTTTTCCTCAGTAAGCTGTCAGCCCTCAGACCAGGCAGGAGCTTAGTCTCATTCACTGCTGTGCCCAGTACCCAGAGTGGTGCTTGGCCCTGGAGGAGGAAGGAGCTCCCTCAGTCATCACTGGTTGAACACGTCAGCACACTGGGGCTCAGTAATGACAGCTCTCACTGTAGTTCTAAAGTGTGCTGAGACAAAAAGCATTTGAAGAAAGGAAAGGAAACTCTGGACTGCAAGAAATAATCTCCAGGCTCGGTGCCTATAGCAAAGTCGTTACAGCTTCAGCCACATACACCGAGGCTGGCAGGTTCCAACCCAGCCCAGGCCAGCTAAACAACAATGACAACTGCAACAAAAAATAGCCGGGCATTTTGGCAGGCACCAGATACTTGGGAGGCTGAGGCAAGAGAATTGCTTAACCCCAAGAGTTTGAGGTTGCTGTGAGCTGTGACGTCACAGCACTCTACTGAAGGCGACATAGTGAGACTCTGTCTCAGAAAAAGAAAAAAAAAGAGAGAGAGAGGCTCGGCGCCTGTGGCTCAAGCGGCTAAGGCGCCAGCCACATACACCTAAGGTGGCGGGTTCGAATCCCCAGCCCGGGCCCGCCAAACAACAATGATGGCTGCAACTAAAAAATGGCTGGGCATTGTGGCAGGCACCTGTGGTCCCAGCTACTTGGGAGGCAGAGGCAAGAGACTCGCTTGAGCCCAGGAGTTGGAGGTTGCTATAAGCTGTGATGCCATGGCATTCTACCCAGAGGGATAGCTTGAGGCTCTGTCTCAAAAAAAAAAAAAAAAGAAAGAGAGAAAGAAAGAATCTCCAGGGTTGGCTTTGGCCCCGGTCTGTCGGTCAGTCTGGCAATGGAGACCAGGGAAGCCGGGCTTATCCAGACCAGGGGATGGACACTACATGCCCATGAGAACCAGGCAGGAATATCTGTGTGTGAGGAGGGGTAGGACAGGGGGCAGTTGGTAGCCGGGGGCCCCCATGCATCCTGTCCCATAGGGCTCCCTTGCTCTAGCTGACTGTGGCCAGCTAGGAAGGCAGGCCCAGTGTGCCAGCACAGTTGAGTTTACAAAAGAAGCCAGAAATCCGGTGAGAAACTTAATTTTTAAAAGAAAAACAGGGACGGCACCTGTGGCTCAGTGAGTAGGGCACCGGCCCCATATACCAAGGGTGGTGGGTTCAAATCCGGCCCCAGCCAAACTGCAACGAAAAAATAGCTGGGTGTTCTGGCGGACGCCTGTAGTCCCGGCTACTCAGGAGGCTGAAGCAAAGAGAATCGCCTAAGCCCAGGAGTTGGAGGTTGCTGTGAGCTATGTGATACCATGGCACTCTACTGAGGGCAATAAAGTGAGACTCTGTCTCTACAAAAAACAACAACAACAACACACAAGTGAGAGCAAACAGAACTCATCTGTGGGCTGGGAGAGGCTGCTGGTACTGCCCAACCTTCTCAGGCAATGTGGACAGAAGGACCCCCCGGAATGAGCTCCATGGGGGTCCTCGTCTCTCCAGTCCTCTTAAGTCATCCCAATGGCTGAGACATGGGACTCCATGTTGGGGAAATGTTAACATGCCTTCCAGATCCAAAAGGGCTGCATAGAGCCAGGGAAGGTAGCCAGGCTTTGGGGCTCCCACAGTGCCTGGTCAATGTGGGTGTTCAGCAAATACTCGCTGGACAAATGTCTTCAGGGTAACTTTGCACACAGCTCTCCATCTCTGGGCCTCATCTGTAGAAAGGGCACAGTAACATGGTTCCACCTATCTCCCAGGGATAATGGACAAATTGAGTGAGATTGAAGGGATAAAAGTGTTTCTGAACATCAAAAGTGCTTTACAAATGCCAGGTGTGGTCATCCTTGCTGTCATTATTATTGTAAGGAAGACACTTTGGCCAGAGCGGAAGAAAGGGGGCTGGGACCCAGAGCAGCAGGGAATCTACAAAGACTTCACAAGCAGGGCTCATGGTAAAGGGGACGTGGGCTTACCAGCTCTGAGGCAGACTGGGTTGTAGGACACAGGAGCCCACTCAACCTCTTCCCTGGCCACCTGTCGTCCAGCTTAGTGGGGGCCCCCATCAGGTCAGGCTGTGTCTCCTCAGAGAGGGCTTCTGGGGACACACAACCCCATATGCGGTGCCCATGAAATATAGCCACTATATGTATAAATAACATAAATACTTTCTCATATATCTTAGCTATATAAATTATTCTCTTTCGTCCTAAAAATTATATAGGTGAGGTAGACAAAAATACCCTGTGAGCATTTCCCTTAAAGCTGTAAAATGAGGGGTCAGTGGTCACTCTGGTCCCCAAGGGCCCCAGCAGAGCTGAGGTGGATCTTAAGGGTAACAGGAAAAAAAGAGGGGTGAGAACAAGAAAAGAGGGAGAGGGCTGGAACAGAGAGGACCCCACAAGCAAAGGGGCCCTGAGTGCCTGCACCTGTGACATGGACTTGGGGTGTTGGGGGTAACGGCCAGCCACAGCCCAGGTCCCCAGAGTCTGCCCTCTACCCTACCACAACTATGGCACAATCCCTCCCTCTGGGCTGGGATTAAAGCTTCCTTTGGCCACCAGGAAAAATGAGGAGAGGTCACTATCTCCCACTATGAAGTTAGGAGCAGATGCTGGCAGATCAGGGTACCTGGCCCCCAAATCGCTGGCAGGCCCCATCTTCCTGCCAATGAGGTCACTGCTGCCTGAGGCCCAGGGTGGAGCCAGAGGAGCAAGATGCATCAGGCTGGCAGAGGAAGTCTCCGTGTGGTGAGGGAGTGGAAGAAACTAGAAAACCAGCCTTCTGCCCTTTTTCCTCCTCCTGCCAAGATGCAGGCCAGCTGCTTGGGTCAGCGAGGTCAGTCTAGTGAGGGGACTCAGGTCAGTTTGGCTTCTCATCTGAGCCTGAGCAGTCGAAGATCCTCCAGCATCCCCCAGGCCTCCCTGATCCACAGAGGACTGGGCAGCTCCTCCTTGTCCTCGGGGGTCTCAGGGAGTTGGCTGGGATCCCACCATGGAACCTTCCTCCTAGAGCTGGTATAGATGACATTTCCGAGCATTCGGCTGCTCCCAAAGTTTCCTGTTGCAGTGGAGGGTCAGCAACTCTGGGTTCAGGGAGAAAGGAAGCTGACAGAGGGGTGCGGCAGGGCTGGCACAGAGGACAAAGGCGCCCCAAAGGAGGTCATGTCCTCCTGGCTGGCATCAGCCCCACTCTGGGGAAGCACAATGCCTCTGGCAAAGTGACCCCTGCAAGGTCTCTGTCCTGAGCTAGAAAGGTGTGTGTGTGCTCTGGATGGGAACCCTCAGCCTGGTCCAAGGGAGTGTGTCTGTGCAGACCTGTGCATGTGTCACCATGTCTCTGTCTGCCCACACAGGGCCTTTGTAGGTGGCTTCAGAAATGCCCACAGGATCTGAGAAAATTAGCAAACTCACCTCTACTCCTCTGGTAAGAGCCAAAGTGAAGGGCCATTAGCAAATGAAGGGGCTACAAGGAGCCAGGCTGAGCAAGGACTCAAGCTAATTAGATAAGCTATAGAGCAGACCTGTGAGCCTGCTGTGTGGGAGGCTTGTGGCCCTGGCGGACCCCAACCACAAGGAGTTGACCAAAGTGCGCTTAAGAGATGGCTGAGAAACTGAGCTCATCACATCCCTGCCAAGGACCAGATGGCTGTCAGCTTTCTCCTCTGGGCTAGGAATAAAGCTTCCTTTGGTCACCAGGGAAAATAAGGAGAGATCACTATCTCCCCATGGGACCTCAGGTTTACTGGATCCCCCTGTGTCTTGCCTTGTCTCCACTGGCAGTCAAATTGGGCAGGGCTGGGTGAAAATGAGGCCACCCTGTGGGTGTATTTGCAAACCCAAATCGAGGAGGCTCCAGGGCATGTATCTGGGGGTCCACTCAAGCCCAGAAAGCTTTCCTTCCTTCAGACAACAGCTCTTACCACTTGGGCTTTCTCCTGCCTCTAGCACAGTAAAGCCAGGGGAGCGTTGAGGGCACATAGCACCTGGCACCTGGCACTCACTGTGACCTAACAGGGCCAGAGGACTGGACAGACCCCTCCCAGCCAGATTCCTGCCTTTGCTCCCTGCTGGCACTCCCATTGGCATGCCCCACCCAGAAGCTTGACTCCCAAGAGCTTACTGGCTCTTGCCCACTCATTGTAGGAATCAAGATGGCAGGATAGCCCCTCCGTTCCCTCCAAAACCTAAGTCCTGCGGTCCTCTTGGGCTCCTTTCCCTCCCCATCCCTTCACACCCTCCCCTTCTGCTCCAGGTCCCCAGACAAGGCTGGGGACCCTGGCTTCAGGGCTGGGCTTTGCTTCTCTTTGCTGTTGAGGGAAGCCAAAGGCTGGCCAAGGCGTGGTGGAGGGGCAGTGGGGAGTTGCACATGCATGTGCATTGGCACATACATCAGTGTGTGCTACACACTGTCTACCTGCCCGAGGGTCCGCTGGACAGCTGGATGGGCACTGCGGGAGGTCCCGCAGTCAGGCGGACTCGCTGGGCAGCAGGCCTAGTGCTTGCAGGTGTACACAAGCTCCTCCTGTACACACTGCTGGCACTCCACGTAGCAGCACCACTGCACCTGGCAGTGGCAGGAGAAGGCCACCAGGCGGCTCTGGGTGTCGTAGCCCCGCCCACAGCACAGGCTGCTGCAACTGGCCTCCCGAGAGCACACCCTGCCTGCTGTGCCGGGAGAGTATTTGCTGGGCCTGCAGAAGCTGGGTGAATCCTCCATGTAGACCAGGTCCCCAGGCCGGGGAGCCAAGCTCTTGTTAGGGCTTCCCGGCCTGGCGGGTACCCACAACTCTAGGCGTCCCAAGGCCTCATTGGTGGCGCTGGACACCTTGACAGCTGAGTCATAGCGCACCTTCAGCACCTGGCCTGTCTCACGGAATGGGGAGAGTTGCTTCCAGCAGGTGCGCACGGCACAGGAGCCCGACACGCCATGGCACTTACACGTGGTCCGGAGGCCACTCTTCACAGCCTGCGAGGAGAGGCAGAGTGGAGGTGTGGTCAGAGGCCCCAGCCCAGCCCAAGTCTGTATCCACCCAGACAGGGGAGCGGCAGGAGGATGGGGAGGAGACAGGGAGGTTCATTGGAAGGGGACAAACGGATCAAGAGCTAGTCTATGAGGCACCTTCATGCAAACTAGCAAAAGGCTTCCCTCCTTCTGGGCAAAAGAAGCCCTGTGCCAACCTGCAAGCCTCATTGAGAATGTGAGCCAGGTCACAGTCCCAGCTGCCCCCAGCCCAAAGTTCTGGTAGAGTAGACAACATACACAATTGAACACACCAGCCCTGGTTTACACGACTCAGTGTCAAGGACAAAAGATACAGAACATAGAATTTAGCCCCCTGAAGAACTGGAGTGCTGGCCTCTCCCAGCCTCCTCACCCCAATAAGCCTAGACTCTTGATCGTCTAGTTCTCCCACTGCTGTGTGACCTCCTTGGAGTCCCTTCCCCTCTCTGGGCCTCCTCCATCTTCCCATCTGTAAAATGGAGGAGGGGCAGGGGGTGCGCTAGATCAAAGTTGTCAAACCACACTGGCTTCTGGAACCTCCAGGAAGTCTCAGTCTTTAGAGAGGAAAACCTCACCAAATACATCCCTGATCACCAAGGCCTAGTCCTCAGCCTGGCTCCCATGCTGCCCAGCCGCTGATGACATCCCACTCTGCAGCATTCCTGGTGACCAGGAATGGTCCAGAATAGCTGCCCAGGCAGTGTGATGGAAGTGAGTGGTGGAAGGAATGAAGTTCAACCTGTGTGGGTATCAGGGATGCTGCTGGCCTCCTGCAGCCAGCCTCCTTCTCTGGCTCTTCACCCAGCCTGGGAACATACTCACCTTCATGCCCACATGGGTGTTGTGGGCATCTGCCCGTGCCCGCAGGTCCTTGCTTCCTCTCTTGGGCCCCAGGAAGTTGTTCAGGAACTTGGTGCTGTATTTGAGGTTGTCACCACACACGCCCCACTGCCAGGCCTGCCGGCTCTCCAGGCCTGGAGAGTCGTCACAAGTGCAGCGCTCCATGCGCCCGGCACTGCAGGCCCGGGCCAGTGCATGGGTGAGGGCGGCTGAGGACACTGCATACAGGAAGGCCGTCTCTTTGAAACCTGTGCCGGCACCAGAGAGGAAAAGAGGAAGCTCAGAGGCTGCGCGCCACCCTCTGAGGGCAGGAGGGGTAGTGGCAATGCTGTGGTGGGAAGGAGAGGGGGTATGGGCCTGAGGACACAGCTCCAGGCGAGCCTTCCCTTAAACTCAGGCTGTAAGCTGTTGTCTAAATGGAATTTCCATATTCAGCATGGAGTATGTGCCCAGGTTCCCAGAGGGCAGCAGGACAGGGGTTACTGCCTCTACTTAGCAGTAAGAACTCTGAGATGCCAAGAGAAGAGACTCAGGCTCTAGTGAGGGGCACAGCTGGGACTAAAGCAACCATCTGGACTCCAAGTCCACGTGTGACAAGTTGGACCTACCCATTTCTGAAGCCCTCATCCCTGAGATATGCCCCATGGGCTTCTGTGATGCACGGTGCCTCTCAAATGTCATTCTCTGCCACCCACTGTGGACTAGACCCCATGGCAGAGTGACCTTGAGTTTCCTGCGTGGCCTGCTGCAGCCTGACCATCTCAGAACATCAGTACTCCTCACTGCTGGGGAATGGCCCAAACCTGACCTGGCCTCCATGGTCTTGCTGACTCCTCCCTGCTGTCAGTGTACCTGGGGTGCTGGTGACGATGGGAGGTGGATATTTGCTCAGTCCCAGACCCTCCGCAGACCCTTTGCAGCCTGGCTGCCCCACATAGCATCACTGCATTTCTGTAAAAGTCTCCATTGTGGCCCTGCCCTTGGTGATGTAGTCACACGGCAGCCCATTTTCTCCCTTCCCGTCTCCCTTCCTAAGGGCAGACGGGGCCTTGTTCAGGTCTGTACCTCCAGGTACCGCCTCTAGTGTGCTGCCTGGCTTGCTGTGAGCCTCAGCAGATGCTTAGCAACTGGACAGGGGAGGCCTGGAGTGATGCAGGGAGGGAGGAGGGAGGCAGAGGGGGAGGGGGGACAATGGATCAAAAGATGAGGCAAAGAAACAGATGAAAGAGTGAACAGACATCCACCTGTCTCGTGTAATTCGTCCAGTCACCACTGCCTTCCATCTTCATATATTCTTGCACCCTGTTGCACGTGTGTGTGTGTGTGTGTGTGCAGGAGGCAGAGGGAGGTGAGTAGGGGACCACATATCTTATCTGTGGGCTCCTCCAGGAAAGGGGTTCCGTCTCCTCTTCTCTGGTGTCTCCCTTGCTCCTCTGCTCCCCCCCAACTGGAAGCTGGGCCATAACTGAACCCTCAGCTCCCCAGGACTCTTTTTCACTTGTGACTGTGCCAGACTAGTGAGGGCCATGAGGTCTGGGCACAAGGTAGGGGGAATGGCGGTCCTCTCCAGCACTCCTCCTCCCCAGCCCACCTCCTCCCCATTCCTCCTCCCTCCCCCTCTCTCTTTTTTTTTAATTAAATGATAACTGTGTGCATTAATGCAATCATGGGGTACAGTGTAGTGTTTTCATATACAATTTGAAATATTTTCATCAAACTGGTTAACATAGACTTTATGACATGTACTTATTGTGTTAAGACAATAATATTTACTAAGTTATTGTGTTTATACTCTACTTTTAGAAAGATTCACTTGTACCCTTGTAAGACAAACAAGAGGTGATCTTTCCAATCACCCTCCCTCCACCCATCTGCCCTTCTCCCCTCCCCCTCCCTACCTCTCTTAAGCAGGCCTGTCCTCCCCTCCAGGCTGCAGTTCCAGCGCTCATGTCGGAACTGGAACTGGCACTCAAGCAGGCCAAGGTGTGCAGCGTCTCTCAGGGTCTCAGCCAGGCCAGGCTCCCTCCGGCACAGCTGCTTCTGCCGCCGGGACAGTTTCAACAAGTCACACTGCTTCAGGTGGGCCCCACCCTGTGCTGGGGCAGCAGCAGTGCCCAGCCCTGGGAAGGGCGTCAGGACCTCCCGCCCAGTGAGGCTGGAGAGGGCGAGAGAAGGGAGGCATGTGAGCCGTGGGGACCATGATGTGGGGCAGATGAGGGGAAGAGGGTCTTCCCGGGAGCTTCATTTATTGCCCTCCTGCATGGCCTGCTGACCCCATGGAATCATGGCCCCATTTTACAGAGTAGGAAACCAAGGTGTTTATAGCAAGGCCTAGTGCAGGATCAACCAAACCTACATTTTTCAGATTTCAGTCTCTGCTCTTTGTACCTACCCTATTTCTAAAACTGGCTCAAAAAATCATCTGGGTGTTTATTAAAAATACAGATTCCCAGGATCCATGCTTGGCAATTCTGATTCTTTTGGTCTAGCATGGGGCCTGGGAATTTGTATATTTACACCATTCCCTGAGCGGCTTCTGCGATCGAGGAAGTTTGGAAAATGTTGCACATAGTATTGGTCACTGCCTGGAGGGGAGAGACACATTCCTATGAGGGGGCAGGCAGAGGCAATGTGGACGCTGAGCAGACATGGGCCCAAGGTCCCCTGACACCCCTCCTTTCCCTTACATTATGTTTCTATTCAAGTAATCCTGTATCCACCTAACCTGTTTCCGTAATTCCCACATAGATCGCCAATCGTCTGACCATTTAATGGCTGGTATAAATGGATGCTTGGGGAATGGAAGGGAGAGAGGAAGGAAAAAAGAAGGTGAGAGGGAGGGAAGGGCTGAGACATGGTTAGATGAAGGTGAAAAGCTCAATGTCCATCAGGTTATCAATCCCAAACTTCTTGTTCTCCTGTACCCACAGTTCATCGATTCTGGAGTCAGCTGCCAAAATTCCAAGCCTGACTGCCACATCCTAGCTGTGCAACTTTGGTTTTTCTCCTCTGGAAAGTGGAAAGATTAATCCTCTCTACCTCCCAGGGTTGCTGGGAGGATTATATGAAATGTGGGAACTACACTGCCTGGGACATGCAGGCTTGCATTCCTGCTAGCTGGAGTTTCCCAGATTTCTCTCCTGTTGCAAGACGCCTTACTCTCTCACTAGGCAAGGTTTCTCCTCTATCCAGATGAGGATAGGAAGGTTTCATGAGGAGGCAGTGACTGGCCCAGGTCATACAACAGATCAGCAGCAATGTGAGAACCAGAATTAGTGTTCATCCCCCACTCTTCCCAGAAGCTCTTGTGAGCTGGTTATACTAGCTCAGAATATCTGCTGACCTAACCCTGGAGCCCCCCAGTGTGGGTGGAATATTTGTGATTCTAAGACCCAGGCTGGGGGAAGTAGCTGCTTTCTGGGACATTCCAGCCTCACAGCCAGAGTAAAGGAGCACAGGTGGAACCACGCAATGGCTCCTAAGGCTCCTACCTGGATATGGCACTTGCCACTGTCGCTCACATGCCACTGGCCAAGGTGAGAGTCCTGTAGACAAACCAGGACTGTCAGACAAACCTGTGTCCCACAGGGCTGAGGGTACAGCTCTCCTATGTGGGGCCACCTGTCTTAGCCAGGACATCTGGCTGTACACTACATCCTGTCTGTCCCAGAAGTAGGAAGCCTCACTGGAGGGGGGGGGGTCTGGCCAGAGCCCAGGTGTCCTCAGAAATGGCCTGTAGATTCCAAATCCATCAGGTGCAGCCAACCCAGTGTGGAGCATATCTCTGAAACCTCCAAGCAGAGACAGATGCTATCAGGCTCCTCCTGGCCCAGCCGGGCGCTGGGCTCCTCTCCCAGACAGGGTGAGGGCAGGGGCCTGTTAATCATTAATCTGGGGGCAAATGGGTAAATTTCCAGTCCACCAGGTCTACACACCCCCAGCCTGGCAGGAAACCCTCTGAGCTTGACCATTGGCAGGTCTAGAGCAGAACCTGATGTCAACTCACTGAGACACCCCACCTTAATAGGATTCCAGTGTGGAAGGCAGCTTCCAGTGCAGAAAGCAAAGGGGGCAGCAGCTATTCCTCAAATGTCCTCCTCCCCCTACCGGGGGCTGGTATGAGCAGCAGCTTCAGTTCACACAATTCCTGTGTTTCAGAAATTGAGACCTCCCTTGTAGAAGCTTGATTGACAGATGGGAGAACAAGTAGGGAGTGATGGGAAGTTGGGGCTGCACATCCTGCAAGGCCCATCTCAGATGCCATTTTAAGAATAATACTATTATTATGTCACTATAGCTATATTATATGTCACCTTAGATACTATATAATACATTACATACTATTAAATATATATTATATTTTTTATGTTATATACATTCATATACCTGCCATTTTTACTCTTGTGAACATCTATTGGGTTGGCTGCCCACCTAATCCTTCTATCTATGTGGTTACCATGTGGCACCTGTAGGCCATTTTATATAAGACCTTTATGGCCTGTTGATTGGACCAATGGTGATCACATGACCCAAGCTGGGCCAATCAGTTCTTTCCCTGGGAATCTGGAATTTGAATTAAGGGAACACACAGCTGCTTTCTCTCTCTTTGTCTGTCTTTGGGTCACTGGGTCTACAACACAGAAGATAAACTTAGGAAGCTAATCCAAAGAAAAAAGAAAAGGATGAACCAAATACACCAAAGGAAGCAGAGATGAGAATAGGAGGGAGAATTTGGGGAACTTCTTAGTCTCTGGCCTCAGAGTCTTCCTAAGATCCAGCTGTGTTCTTGCCTGAGACATCCCTATGGTGTGGAGTAAAAGCTCAGAACTGTTTGCCTAAATAAGGGGTGTCATCCTCAATTACCCCCCTTTGACAGCGGTAGAACACCAGCATTCCCTAGACTGCACTTGTGAGCCAGGCCCAGCACACACTTTTACACTCATCACCAAGCCTCTGGGTTTTTAAAAATTTCATTAATAGGCCCTGAGATTGATGGCTCCAGGAGTCCAGTATAAAGTCGGTTAATTTTATTAGCGATAATGACACTTAGTAGTGATTAATGATCAGTAAAGGCAGCCAACCGCACAGAGGCCTCAGGCCACACTGGTCCCTGGTCTGTCCAAGGCTGCTCTCAAAGAAGGCTCCCTGGCACTGCCTCAGAGACCCCACAGGGCCTAGGAAGACAGCCTGGGGGACCTTCCAGAGCCCCGTTTCCCTTTTATTTGCTTTCCATGTTGTGGTTTGGGGATCATATTTCCTTTGAAGAAATAGTACAATGACTATTGCTATGTTGCTCAGGCTGACATAAAATTTAGAAAATGAGTCAACATATTTCCTCAAATAGTGCTAGTGAATTCTCCTATGTGTGGCCATCTCACAGCATCCTCTGAGGTTTCTTCCTGGACCCCAGAAGAATTCTGAGTGCTTCAGGTTTATTCAGTGACCAGCAGGTTTGATTCCCTCCCCAGAAAGAAATCATACCCACAGGAATCCCAGGCCTGAGCACCACACCCACTGGGTTGCTTTGTGAAATCACTATTACCCATGTTAGCTGAGCTCCATGGGAGTAAGAAGGACAAACAGACAACCTGAGTGAGCTTCATTAGTCTTATGAATCCAGATAGAATTGGGGGTTTTAGTGACTACACTGCCCTGTGGTCAATCAGAGGCTGCCAGTCAAACAAGTAACCAGTGTTCTGAAAATAAAGAGCAGAAAAAGGATAATTTGAGACATGTTAACTACTCTTCTTGGATGGGGGCTTCTTCGTGACTCCAGTGCTTCCAAGCCACCTGGGGCCCCCATTCCATCAGGCTATTTCTGACATAACCCAGCTGGTCATCCTCCTTGAGCTCTCCAGGCTGACTTCTACCCTCACTTTCCCTGTTAAAAAAGCAAAGATCCCATGTGACCAGATTCTTCTTCCTTCTTCCTTCCTTCTTCTACCCCCATCTGTGCCTGACTGTTCTCTGCACCCTTATCCCCTTGTCCTTAGTGCCCAGGTTGAAGGTGAGACCAGAAACCCCCACACCCACACATGAGATGTTCCTGGTTTGAGCCAGGCCACCCTGTCTTCCCCCAGGGTGAGAAAAGTCAAGGGTGCCCCTCAGGACTTTATCCCATGTACACCCCACCCCCAGATCTCCTCTGCACACTCCTGGCCCCTCTGGCCTCACCTGCCTCCACACTTTCCAACGCATTCCCCATCCACAGATTTGGTTAAAGCTGCCCCATCAGGGTGACCTTGAAGGAAGCAGAAGAGGCTCTGCCAGGCTTTGGGAAGGGAAAGGTTCCCAGGTGACTGCTTCATCCCTATCAGCGGGAGTCCAGGGACCATTGAAGTCCTGAGAAGAAAATGGAGCTCACCCTTCAAAAATCACTTGCCACCTGCTGGAGCATGGGATCCCAAGCATCTTGTGCCCCAAGGCTGTTCTGGTTTAGGTAGTCTGGGCCACAGTCTGACTCTCATTCAGGTTGACCTCAAGGACCTCTCCTCACTCCCTGAGCTCATTCCATTGAACAAATACACCTTGACTCATGAGAGAGCATGACTAGAGCTAGGCTGCCTAAGTTCAAATCCCACCTCTGCCTCTTCCTACCTTTGCCATATTGGGCAAGGTCTTTTACCTCTTTGTGCTTTATCTGTTGAATGCAGAACAATGCCTGGCACATAGTAAGTCCCAGATGAGTATTTGTCATTATTAAGTACCTACTATGTACCAGGTGCTGCTCTAGGTGCTAGGACATGGCCCTGCCCTCAGGAAGCTCACAGTCTGGAGGAGCTTGGTTAGACTCAGGAGTCCTTCAAACTCTCCAGGAGCAGAGTTAGGAACAGGAAGCTTTGAAGCAGCCTGGCTCCTTGAGGAACAACCAGGGACCCAAGTCAGGACTCCTAGCAATGTCAGAGGGAAATCCTGACCTCAGCTAGTCCTGTCCGGACTACAGTGGGAGGCCTGGGTGTGAGGACAGGGCAGGAGGAAGCTCTCAGGGAGCAGCCCAGGCAGTGTGAGGCAGGGTGAGCAGGTGTGGGGCTTTCCTCCCCACCCGGGGGCCCAGGCTCTGTCCCTCCAGGCCCACTTCCATCCTTGTTTCTGCTTGAGAAGGTTTGATGGTGCCAGCAGAGGCTGCCCCCAGGATGTCGGTGGGGAGGTGGCATG